CCCACTCACACTCACCCCACCCACACTCACTCCCACCCACACTCACCCCACCCACACTCACTCCACCCACACTCACTCCTATGACAGAGCAGCAGTGCTGCCTCACTCATCTTTTAGTCTGTCCTGAGCAGGGATGAAATGGGGTATCTCAGAGGAGGTTGGTGCTCAGCACAGGTGAGCAGTCAGTCACAAAGGATGGATCCAATACGGAGCCAGGCCCTGGGTGCAGCCTCCTGTGCTGCTTGGCTGGGCTGGGCTGGAACAGGCTGTGGCACCTGGATCCCGGCTCCAGCTGAGGCTGCTCACTCTGAGCCACCTGCAAACCCGCCCACCCAGGGGCCCGCCTTCCCCACACTTACTTGGGCATGGGGCACCCTCGCAGGCTTTGGTCTCCCGGCCACTCCCTTTGCAGTTCCTGCCCCCCATCTGGGGCACTGGGGAGTTGCACAGACGGATGCGTGTGATGTTGCCGACTCCACAGGTCACAGAGCATGAAGACCAAGGTGACCAGTGGCTCCAGCCGCCATCCTGCCGGACTAACACAAGAAGCACAGAGGATCAGGCTGTGCCAGCCACAGGGGTGTGTGCCTATCAGCCTGTGCCTTACCAGCTCAGGAGCACCTCACAGCTGCAGAGGAGAGGGAAGGAGCACCCCCACCAACAGCCAGGAGAAAGAGCCTCGCCTGGCCAGACTCCTCGCAAAGGCTGAGCACCTCCAGAGGCAGCTCTGTCCTATGCAAAGGTCTCAGGTGACTGAGAGAAGCCCGGCTCCTCCCCACAGCCACCGGGCATCACCTGCCCGATACTCACTGCGGGTGTCGCACTTGCTCAGGCTGCAAGCCCGCGTCTGGATGGAGGGCCCCAAGCAGGTGTTGCTGGTGACGTCACAGGACCGTCCTCTCTGCTGGGTCCCAGAGCCACAGGTCACGGAGCACTCGGTCCACTCTGCCCATGGAGACCAGCCCTCCTCACCATCCACTGCTGCTGGAGGAAGCAAACAGTGGCTCAGGCCCCGCCTGGCAGATGTGCCACAGAACAGAGAGGCACAAGGCAGCTGGTGTGGGCCGTGGTTTGTGCATGCAAGAGTCTGAGGAGCCAGTGCCTGGCCAGGCAGCTGGACATTTCTGTGGCTGGCCCCTGGCTCCCTGTGACCTAAGTTCATGACCCGCACAGGAGCTCAGGGGCTGCCGTTCCAGTGAAGAGCAAATACACATTTCTGGGTCTACTGGTGGGTGCTGAGGGGAGTTAAATCCGTGTGTCCAGGAAACTCTTTCAATTGATCTTATAAACTAGCTTGCCAAAGACAAGTGCTTGATCTTGTCTACATGAAGTTTCATTAAAGTTATAAAGATTTAATGTATTACCATTTAACCTCTGTCCGCTGATTTACATAATGTAGTGAAACATTCAATTATTGGTGAAAGTTACAGCTCACTTATTTCCAAATAAACTGAAACAAGCAAATAAAAAGGCAATTCCCTTTTTATAAAGAAATTCTTTATCGGTAATCACAGCCCCTAAATAGGGGGAAAGACAGCAACTTAATGCCAGAAATAATTCCTGTAAGGAGATAAACCCAATGAATGTGCTATGACTAAATGTTCTAGAGAGCAGGGAAAAAAGAAAAGAAAAGGTAAATGGTCAAGAAGGCCTTTTTCTTGTTATGATGCTCTTGATAACATAAATTTTTGCAATTTACCCATCTGACAAAGGGCTAATATCCAGAATCTACAGACAATTTAAACAAATTTACAAGAAAAAAACAAACGACCCCATCAAAAAGTGAGCAAAGGATATGAACAGACAGTTTTCAAAAGAAGACATTTATGCAGCCAACAAACATTAAAAAAGCTCCTCATCACTTGTCGTTAGAGAAATGCAAATCAAAACCACGTTGAGATACCACCTCACGCCAGTTAGAATGGTGGTCATTAAAAAATGAGAAGACAACAGATGCTGGAGAGGATGTGGAGAAAAAGAAACACTTTCACACTGTTGGTGGGAGTGTAAATTAATTCAACCTTTGTGGAAGACAGTGTGGCGAGTCCTCAAGGATCTAGAAATAGAAATTGACCTATTTAACCCAGCAATCCCATTACTGGGTATATACCCAACGGCTTATAAATCATTCCATTATAAAGACATATGCACACGTATGTTTACTGTGGCACCATTCACATTAGCAAAGACTTGGAACCAACCCAAATGTCCATCGATGATAGACTAGATAAAGAAATGTGGCACATAAACACCATGGAATACTATGGAGCCATAAGAAAGGATGAGTTCATGTCCTTTTCAGGGACATGGATGAAGCTGGAAACCATCATTCTCAGCAAACTGACACAAACTTCATGTCCTCTGGGTAGGAGGTACAGTCAGCATTCCTGCACCTTGTTTAGCCATGGGGATATCTCAGGCCACCGTGGCCCAGAGCACCTCGTCACATTCAGTCCCTTTCTCTAAACTGCAAGCTGCCCATCCTGAACCCCCGCAGGTTTCCCTCTTTCTTCTCCGACACGCTGGGCTGCTCAGACCCACTTCACGCATGTCAGCCTGAACAGAACTGGTTTTCTGAGAACAAAAGAACAGAAAACCAAACACCACATGTTCTCACTCATAAGTGGGTGTTGAACAATGAGAACACACGGACCCAGGGAGGGGAACATCACACACTGGGGCCTGATGGTTGGGGGCTGGGGGAGGAATAGCAAGGGATGGGTGTATTGGAGAGGGGTAGCATTAGGAGAAATTCCTAATGTAGACGACGGGGCGATGGATACAGCAAACCACTACCATGGCACGTGTGTACCTATGTAACAAATCTGCACGATCTGCACATGTACCCCAGAACTTAAAGTACAATAAATAAATAATAAAAAAAAACATAAACTGTCTCCTTTGAGTCTAATGTGGGCCCTTTGATGATCAATTATATTTTTATGCTTTGCCGGGAGCGATCTGACTTTGTGAATATCTAACAAACAGGTGTTTTCACAAATATCGAATTGCTGATTTTAATTGTAAGACTAACTGTATAGGGGATGAAATTTCTGCATTTTACAGGTAATAAATCTGAAGCTCAGAAAAAATCCCATCTTATTCAAAATCACAGAGTGGTGGAGCATGACCTCGGAGCCCCTGCTTTCTCTAGAGGTCAGGTACCCCAAGGAGGACACAGCTCTGGGGTCAGAGGGAAATTCTGGGAATGTTTGGGGGATGGTGACTACTTTCATTCGGGATAAGTGCTGCCTGGTCTTAGTGCAGCATCGACTCGGGGTGTGGACCTGAAGCACCTTCCCAATGGCATGGCACTGGGGAGCCACTGATGGTTCAGGAGCTCTGGGTGCGGTTGGCAGACCCAACCTGGAAAGGGAACTCAGCGCAGAGGTGGGAGGCAGCACTGACCTGAGGGCTGCACTGGGGCCACCCCAGTCTCTGAAAATGCACTGAGCTTTCAGGGTGGCTGGGGGCCCCCAGGGTGTCCATGCGTGGTTCCCCTCCATCTCTGTTTCTGTTCCTTGGAACGTATTTCTATCACTTAGTGCATAGTCCTTGGGTACGAGTCTTCGGTTTTTGTTTGTCTGATTTTGTATTGTTCTTTTCCACAAGTGTGTGTGCAGGGATCACTCACGGTGGCAACACGGTCACCGATCTGGGTGTGTTCTCTGACTCCCAGCTGGGGCTCCTTCGGGGCCTGCTCTGGGCTCGCCTGTGTGACATCTGAGCTCAGCTTCTCATCTGAGAAGCAGCAGGACAGGCCTTCCCTCCCCTGCATTCCCAGAGCTTCCACATTCATTTCTGGCCACGAGTCAGTCCACAGTGGATCACCAGTGGCTGGGGTGGCCCTATGATTCCCTCACCTGTACTCACGGGGCTAATCCTCATTCTTGTCCTCCAAAACTAACCAATTAATAATTAAACACACAAGCATGGAACTCCCAAAAATGCAGGACTCACTTGCGGGCTGGCGATACTCACCGTGCAGGCAGGAAGGGCAGCATTCGCCTTCAATGAATGACGGGCTGGCACAGGTCGCGGGTGGGCAGGTGATTTGGTGGCAGATGGTTTTAAATTTCTACAAGTAAAGAAAGGCATGCCTGGAACTCTCATTTGAGAGCAGGGGACACTGGCACAGGGCGGAGACTGGAAGGGTGGACAGGACAGCTGAATGTCTTCCATCCCACGGACCATGCATTACAAACAGAGGTGTGGACATAGGGGCGTCTGGTTCTCCCATGAGTGCTCAGAGCCTAATAAGAGCCGGGCCCCCAGATGGCTCCTTGCATCCCTTCTGTTCCTTTCTCCTTTCACTGAGCAGCAAGGGGGCAACAGAGAGTGCCACGTTTCCTGGAGGAGGGAAGAAGGGATGGGCAGCGGGAGCTTCTGTGAGCTGAGGCTGAGGCCACTGTCAGCAGAAACAGAGTAACATTAACTACGGAGAGAGGCTGAATTGTCTGTCTGTTAGACTTCGGGCAGTGACTTCTATTTCCCCAAACGTTTCTGCCGAGCCTCAGGGCTCCACCAGAGCCACAACTGGCTTCCCGTTCTTCCTGTTTCTGACTGGTGACGCTGGCCGGGTCACTCCCTCACCCTGGGAGCTGGTTCTTTGTGTGCAAACGAAGAGGTTGATTCAAGTCATAGTTACGCTTCCTGGCCCTTCCAGGGCTCTTGCCCTCGGATCTCCTCACATAGCGTAATAGGTTTTACACTCGGCATTGAACTCTGGCATTTCCCGGCAGGCCAGCTGTGCCGAGTGTCTAGCAGTGCCTCTTCCCCCACGAGCTGTGCTCTGGGGCCTCACCTTGCAGGTACACGAGGTGCAGCTGTCCACCACCCATGTCTCATTTTCCGCAAAGAACCGGCCATCCTGCCAGCAAGCTGACATGTTCCTCGTCTTAGGAGGGCCACCAATGAGCTCCCAGAGAAACTGGTTATCATTTGACTGGAACATAAAGTGAAACATTTAAGCACAGACGGTCATACAACACATTTAGTCATCACGCTTGAGGATGAAAATAAATTTCCTTCTTCATTAAGATCCTCTGAAGTCAAGCAGAACTTGACCTGATGCATCCCTGGGAGGACGACCCAGAAGCTGCCCACCTTCCTTATGCAGCGTTCTCAGCCCCTGCCACGGCTCAGCACTTCGTGGGCTTCTGGGGCACCCCATCCTCCTGCCTTCCAGGGGAGAGGAACTTGCGTGGCTCACAGCACGCCTGGGCCAGTGGGAGCGACGCTGGGGCTCCTTTAACTGGGGACACAAGGTGGGACAGGTGGAGGGGGAACGAGGTCCCCAGGCAGCAGCCACAGGACTGGCAGGGACACAGCCAGGCTCCTGGCTTTGCCGCCCTCCCTGCCCCCGGCTCCAGCTCCTGGCGTCATTTACTTCATGTCCTCTGGGTAGGAGGTACAGTCAGCATTCCTGCACCTTGTTTAGCCATGGGGATATCTCAGGCCACCGTGGCCCAGAGCACCTCGTCACATTCAGTCCCTTTCTCTAAACTGCAAGCTGCCCATCCTGAACCCCCGCAGGTTTCCCTCTTTCTTCTCCGACACGCTGGGCTGCTCAGACCCACTTCACCCATGTCAGCCTCACAGAAACTGCGCATCCCACCTTAAACAAAAGACGTTTTCTCTGCAGGGGTGTGTGTGTGTGTGTGTGTGTGTCTGTGTGTGTGTGTGTACACTCATATGTGTATGTTTACTGAAGAGCTGAATTTCGGCTCATGCCTATAATCCCAGCACTTTTGGAGGCCAAGGCAGGCAGATCACGAGGTCAGGAGATCAAGACCATCCTGGCCAACATGGTGAAATCCCATCTCTACTAAAAATACAAAAATTAGCTGGGCGTGCTGGCAGGCACCTGTAATCCCAGCTACTTGAGAGGCTGAGGCAGGAGAATCACTTGAACCAGGGAGTTGGAGGTTGTCCTGAGCTGAGATCGCATCACTGCACTCAAGCCTGGTGACAGAGACTCCATCTCAAAAAAAAAAAAAAAATCTCCTATATGCAT